GATAGATAGATAGATAGACAGACAGATAGATAGATAGATAGATAGATAGATAGATAGATAAGAAGGAAAGAGAAAAAACAGTCACAAATACGGTCATCCCCGAATTCTATGAGTTTATTTGTGCGCAACAGACTTGATTATCAGTACCCTCAGTATGTTCAACCGGCCTGCTGACACAATGTTGATTAGCTATCTGGATAAAACCCTAACGTATACAGACATTTACCCCGGGGTCAGCAGCAGTTGGTGAACGTCTAACTGTAACTGAGTGACTCCGATGTCAGGATCCCTCACCATGTTTACTCATTTATTTTCGAAAATCACGGGTCATATAAGTTGATTTGTATAACGTTAATCACACTAGGCACCAGTCTTTGTCTATAGTTACACACCCGTTCAAACAGATAAATCCATCCCCGCTATGATCATCATATCAAAACTGCACCGTCCTCGTTCCGTTGTGGTAAACAGTGACACCTCGGGCGTGATAAACACTCGGTCGCAAGCACAGCTTTTGGCACTGTCAGTCGTGATCCTGATCCCGGAGCGAAAATGAGGACGATTTGACCTCAATATGAACACAGTCTATAGCCGGCAAGACAATCAATCCGTAACGATGTATAACGGATAAGGGTCCCAAGAAGGGAGAGCAGTGTAGCGGGCCACAATGGGGATAATCGCGGAACCGTTCGTCAGGGGGTGTGTCGAAATGAAAAACAACTGTCACAATAGATCTTTGTGCGATCGGTGGAATGGAATGGTTACTGTGACGAAAATACACTTCCTGGATACAAGTATATGAATGAGCTGACAAAAGATTACCGTATATGCATGCCTGACGAACGGCAAGAGCCGCGAAACCAGTCGTGTGCTTCCAGGTAAATTTTGTTTAGCCATTAACATACTACTTATTATGATTTTATATATATAAATGTATATATATATATATATATATATATATGTATGGAGTGCACGCTCAAATAATAGGGACGGTCAATACCTTATGTCAGTGTACACAGTTCAATTTTTGTGTGGAAGTGGGAGGGGGATACAATACCCAAACGGCATTTTCTACGAGGATACTTCAATAAGCGGTTATCATAATATTAAAAACGTGATTTTGGTTAACAAATAGATTGTCTAAGGAATCATAACGATTCCGTAGACCGTGTGCTCTTTTCTGGCATTTTGCGATGACGGTCAAGTAACCACTTGAAACTCAGTGCGTGTTTCGGTTCTATTGAGAGCTGGTTAGAGACTCGATGTTCACTAGTCCCAGAAGAATCTGTCATTTCTCACAGTAGCACGAAATAGATTCGTGACAAAAACGGAGGAACGGAGGACGGCAACTGATATGCATCAAACTGCATGAAAAAAGTTAAACGTTTCCCTTTGATGTCAGCCGAAATGGGAGAAAGGGGAAACAGCATCCTTTGAGCAAGACAACTGTGGTGCTCGTGCCACGAGTACACACGCACCACGGTACGGCTTCTAGATAGCCNAAACAGCTTTCGTGTGATCTCAAGTTGCATCAATCCGATTGGCTGTCAAATAAACAAGATCGTTGTAGATTGGACATTGCGGAATCGCCCAATGATTGTTTGAGGCCTATGATGTTTATTTGCATTATATTCCGAACAGAATTAACTGTATTCACAGCTCGTCTTGGTTCTACCTGATTCCGTCCCATTCAGTGGGTTTTCAATCCGAAACCGAGTTCACGCTATTCGATTTCGAAGCCTATTTGGAATACTATAGCAACACGAAACCGCAGTGTGCACAAATCACACTGTATAAACACTGAATAAATTGTTTTGGGGTCCCTATATCCGAGTTGTGCAATTTCGGTTCCTTTCTCAACCACATTGAGAACTGCTGGGGATCGTTGGTCAGTTGCTGTGCAAAACACCTCCTAGAAAGCATTTCGGGAAAATATTAGCATCGCAGGTTTTGTAAAATATTGGTCTTTAAGGGAAACCATGATTTCAGTTAATTATACAACACTGATATCTGCATCACTNNTTTCATTACGGAAAAATTCTCTTCAGAACTTAAAAATGATTACCATACGGACAGCCAGAAGAACGGTGAGATTCACGAAACTAGTTGTCTCTTGGGAAATCTTATTCATCTATCAAAAACTCATCAATAATTGCAGTTTGTCAAAGTTGGCATTATCTGACCTAAAACAACGTCGTCATGGCTCTCCAGGAAGACCTGGCTCAAGCGTATCTCCAAAGGGNNGGGTTCAAGTGAGAAATTTGCAAATAAAATTATGTTGTACATACACACATCCCGCACCGACTCTCCATTGAATGGAGTAGGGCACACACGGTCAACAATTGATTTAATTCGCCTAAAACTGTACGGGATCCTTCGATCAGTTTATCGTTACAAAATGACTATTGTAAGTTGACAAAGTATTGAAAATCGGTTCTCGTAGCTCGGGTGAACTGACTGCAAACAATTGCAAACTAATTGCCAAGCTCGGCGAACAGGCGAAATAGAACTATTGTAAGTGTTTGAAACGCATTCACAGCTCACTTGCGAAATGAGAGATAATTTAACCAATAATTGGAAAGTTCAAATGGCAAGTCATATATTTTTATTCCCAAAAAATGATGAGTGAAGTAATAACCCGTCCAATCGGGATTCCGTTTTAGCAGCTAATAAAAGCATATCTAACTCTCCATATAACTCGATTGGTTTTCTCTGTTCGAAGTTTGACTTATTTAAAATTAACACTTTAAACCGATCAATTATTCATGTGGACGTAGTCGAGTGTGCTCTAATAAGGCTCACCGGTACAAGATGTTGACGTAAGCCAAACAAACAAATCATTGTAATTAAAAACCATGTTTCACACCCATTTATATGTACAAATGAAACGTATAAGTATTAGTGGAGTTCCCCGTGTTGTGTTAAGACGGAGCACACAGAACCCGTCAATCCACGCACGGATCCGCGTCACACCACAAGTGCGCTCACAACGCCCAGAGTAAATCGATTCCGGATTGGATGACTAAGGCGAAT